CACATGATCGAGAAATATTTGACCATTAATAGAATGGACTTTGCATCATGCATTCTTGTCAAATTGCTTAGTGACATAATACATGCATAAGCAGTGATCTTATTTGTGTTGCAGAAGAATAGTTGAATACTGTTTATTGAAATTAATAATCCCTAAAACAATTTTCCAATATAGATTAGAAATTATAGTTTGAAACATATGTATAATTACTTCTCAGCATTGAAATAAATAAATCTCTATGTATGTGTATACGATAGTGATTTGTTCACAATTTTATAAACCGGCTTGGCAATTTTTAACTAATCCAAAATCACTCTCGATAATTTTGTTTACTTTGAATATGTACTATGGTTGCATTTGAGGTTTTTTATCATTTAAACAAAAATCACTGACATTTATTTCGTAGTTACATTTTCATGTATATCTTCATAGTATCTTTTGCTTACTGACTTGACTCACTTTGTACTTGCCAGTTTTCAGTATTTATTCTGTGTTCTCCAGAATAAATATCGGATTATTCGGAAACATAAGATTGTGAATGTAAATTTCGTTCATTAATGTTGTATGATGACGCTACCTTCAGATCCTACCTGTTATTCAGAGTCCCATGTTGATTATGCCCCGGAATTGTATCTCAAATGTAAATATTCGTTTTATATTTTAAGTCTAACCGTACCGGAAGTGAGAATTTCTTACTACTCCAAATATCCAAACATATTTTACTATACGGTAATAACTAAATGCGAACCCGCGCAGTGTGACGACTGGGCGCTTTAACAAATCGCGCCCTCTAGTGACGAAGTGCTTTTTGACGTAAACGGACCATTCAAAACGGCGGTATTTTTGTTATCGGTAATCGTTCATCAATGAAGATTATGCTTTTTTTGGATATTACTATATTCTAGACGACGAACAACTACTCAGCTATACACAATGGTCAATTTGAACGGCATTGCTTTCAACCCTATACGTCATTTTGACGTCACAGAAGCACTCGGTCGCTAGAGGGTGTGGCTTATAGGGGACTCAACTATATAAAAAAACTCGTTTATTCAAATGCTATATTGTTTTTGCTACAGGTCCAGATGCACCATCACATATCACATTGTCGGCCCTTGAGCCATGGGGTGCAACCGTCGAGGTCAAAGAATCTATGAGTTATGAAACAATACAAGAAATCACCGGATACGTCATCCGAATATTTGGGAAAAACCGAGAGTTGGAATTTGAAATGGGTAAGTAAAGTATACTTACATGTATTGTTAAATTCATGTCTGGAAATGTTTCCGAGAAAAACGACAATGGGAACAACAGCGCATTTCTTGGTCGTGCTCTTACAAATCAAAATCTCACCACGTAAAAGGTGCTAAGGAGCGAATTCCAAATTCGATTTACAACAGTGAAAATAAAGCATGAGGCAGATGGACATAACGTATGCCCAATATTTCAGTGAATGTATATTTGTTATTATTATTATTTTCTCTTTATAGGAAACACATTTCACATGTCGGGGCTCTTTCCCAATGAAAAGTACTCAGTGCAGATTGCCGGCAAGAATTCCTATGGACTTGGATGGTTTTCAGAACGCTATCATTTCACAACTCCATTGCCAGGTATGTACTGCGAAATACGGCACGGTGCGGTCAAAGTTCAGTTTGTCTGTCAGTTGACAGCAACTTTATTCGCGTTATCCGCTGACCATTTGCGAGGTTCTGAGTGCGGGTGATATTTTGTCCGGTTACATGATCAGTAAATTTTAGACGCATTCAATGTTATATTATGACGCGCTCAGTCATCTGCGCTTGCGCAGTCTCTCAGTCATGATAAACGGACTGGTGATCGTGTTTACGAAAAATCTTACTCGTTTAGGTTTTGCTCGTGTGCACAGTGATTGGTTGGCAAGAACCAGTCGTTCGCATCTGAACATAAAGTAATGGCGTTATTTGCTGTATGTTGTTAGTAAATATGGATGTTATCGCATCCAGTGTTCATCAGTGAAACACATCTTTTATCAGAGGTTGACATGGTGGTTAGCAAAAATGCAGACAAACATTAACTAAGCAAATAGTGGTAATTCCTAATTTTCGAGTTGTTAGTTTTCTACGGAATTCCGCTAGAGGGCGCATCCAAAATACCCGGATGACGAGCCTGAGTGGGGTTGTTTTTATTGATGTTCTGTATTCTTACATGCGTAAATCAATAGATTGGAAAAACATAAAAGTTCCAGAACTCCGCAAATTTGCTTCAGGGTCGTGGTATAACTTGGCAATGTTCGTAAAGCTAAACTTTTTGAACTTGTTGAGTTAGCAAAGGAGTTAAATGTTCGCCAAGAGTCAAACAATTCGTCGTCGTATTACAATACAGTGAAGTCGACGATAGCTCTGGTAGATCCGTGTAACGTAAAAACTTGGCAAAAAACCTTCATACTTTGCCTTTGTTTGAAATAGCTGATATGTTCGCATA